ATTGGGGTTCAAATGGAGCTACTTGACTAGCCTTTAGACCCAAATCACTCTGGCTTTCACTGAGTGGCCAGTAATAGGCCCCAGCTCAAACTTCACTTGCTCATTATCTGGGTTTTGATGGCTCAGAGTGAGTGTAAATAGTAATTATTTCTGTTCTGGCCAGAAATTCTGAGGGTCTTCCCCTTTCAGACTGATTCTTTTATGAAGGCAAACTAGGCCACCTTTTGCCTCAATTCTTACCTAGCCTTTAACCACTGAACAGATGTTTGTTTCCTCAAACTAAGACCTGGGAAAGACCTTAGCTTAAAAAGGCCAAGGTCTCCTGCAGGATCTTGGACCATCACCAGTCATCCTGACTTATGTCTTGACTCTGGAGGAGAGAGTGAGGCTGATGATTTTGCACAGCTCTGCCTCACTTAAATCCAACTCACTTGCAAGTCATGGCATCACCCTCTGGATGTCATTGGTCCTCTTTCAGAATGAAGGAGGAATAACAACAGCAATCCCAAACCCAGCTCTTTCCTTCAAAGAGAATAGGATAGTTGTTACATGGATAAAGGCAATGATTGATGAGCTAACTCAAGTGTTCTTCAGAGACATAATGGTCTGTCTAATTCCCAGTGGGGAAAAGATACCACCTCTCTAATTGAGAAATTCATCTGAGGTCTATCTCACCCTCCAGGCATGGGTGTGGGGTGGGGGGATAAGAAATATAATTAGAAAATCACTTTTTGTTCAGTTTCTGCTGGCTGCTATATAAATAACAAATTACCTCCCTTGCATTCTTTTATTCTTCTCCCTGCTACTGCATTATAGTCTATACCCTGTTCTAAAAAAATAAATTAGTGGTCTCTGACCTTTGCTTGGAATTTGATGTAGGCCAAGTGAGTAGATGTTGGAGGAGGGATTGGGAAGAGGAGGCACTGGTCTATCTCAAATCAAGTCTTCACTTGGGGATACAGTGAAAGGCATTCTAAACAACTATGTACAAATAAGATACATACAGGAGAGATTTGGAGATCATCTCAGTGACATTTAGAGGGACCTGGAAGAGCTTCTTTTTTTAAATTTTATTAATTTATTTTGATTTATCAACAATCACTTCCATATGCTTTTGAGTTGAAAATTTTTCTCCCCCTTCCTCCCCCCCACCCTCCCCAAGACAGTGCACAATCTGATATAGGCTTTACATTTACATTCCTATTAAATGTATTTTCACATTAGTGAAGTTGTAAGTAAAAATTAAAATCAATAGGAGGAACCATCAGAAAGAGGAAACAAAACTCAACAGAAGGTAAAAATAGTGATAGCAATTCGACTTCCATAGTTCTTTCTTTGGATACAGACAGTATCTTCCATCCCGAGGTCTCTGGAGATGTCTTAGATCCTTGTAATGCTGAGAAGGGTTCAGTTTAACAATCTTAGTCATTGCATAACATGGCTGTTATTATGTACAAAGTCCTCTTTGTTCTACTCACTTCATTCAGCATCAGACCATATAAGTCTTTCCAGGTTTTTCTGAAGTCAGCCTGTTCATCATTTCTTACAGCACAATAGTATTCCATTACATTCATATACCGCAACTTGCTCAGCCATTCCCCAATGGATGGGCATCCTCTCAATTTCCAATTCTTTGCCACCACAAAAAGAGCTGCTATGAATATTTTTGTACATGTGGGTCCTTTTCCCATTTGTCTGATCTCTTTGGGATATAGCCCTAGGAGTGCTGTTGCTGGATCAAAGGGTATGCACATTTTTGTAGCCCTTTGGGCATAGTTCCAAATTGTTCTCCAAAATGGTTGGATCATTTCACAACTCCACCAACAATGTATTAGTGTTCCAATTTTCCCGCATCTTCTCCAACATTTATCATTTTCCTGTTTTGTCATGTTGGCCAATCTGATAGGTGTGATGTGGTACTTCAGAGTTGTTTTGATTTGCATTTCTCTAATCAATAACGATTTAGAGCATTTTTTCATATGACTATAGATGGCTTTAATTTCTTCATCTGAGAACTGTCTGTTCATATCCTTTGACCATTTATCAATTGGGGAATGGCTTGTGTTCTTATAAATTTGTCTTAATTCTCTATATATTTTAGAAATGAGGCCTTTATCAGAGAGACTAGTGTAAAAATTATTTCCCAATTTTCTACCTTCCTTCTAATCTTAGTTGCATTGGCTTTGTTTGTGCAAAAACTTTTCGATTTAATGTAATCAAAATTATCCACTTTGCGTTTTAATGTTCTCTATCTCCCGTTTGGTCAATGAATTCTTCTGTTCTCCATAGATCTGATAGGTAAACTATTCCTTGTTCTCCTAGTTTACTTATGGTATCAGCCTTTATATCTAAGTCATGAACCCATTTTGACTTTATTTTGGTATATGGTATGAGATTTGGGTCCATGCCTAGTTTCTGCCATACTCTTTTCCAGTTTTCCCAGCAGTTTTTTTTGAAAGAGTGGGTTCTTATCCCAGAAGCTGGGGTCTTTGGGTTTATCAAATAATAGATTACTATAGTCATTGACTACTGTGTCTTGCATATTTAACCTATTCCACTGATCCACCACTCTATTTCTTAGCCAGTACCAAGCAGTTTTGATGATTGCTGCATTATTATACAATTTAAGATCTGGAATTGCTAGGCCACCTTCCCCTGCATTTCTTTTCATTAGTTCCTTTGATATTCTGGACCTTTTGTTTTCTGGAAGAGCTTCTTGCAGAAGGTGGGATTTTAGTAGAGATTTGAAAGAAGCCAGGGAAGCGGGCAGATGGAGGCAGATGGAAAGACAGACCCATCTAGCACCTAGGGTGGGGAGGGACTGAAAACAGCAAGGTGCTAATAAAGTCCACCCAGGGAGTAGAAATCACAAGCTCTTGTGCTCTGCTCTGCTCTAGCCTTCCTAAACCAGCTCAAGGTGATAAGCAGAAGTTCTAAGTAGAGGTGGAGAGATTTCTAATCTGAAGCACCACAAACCCCTAAGCAGCCGTTGAACCAGACCTCTATAAGAGATAGGGTGGGGTTTCTGTCAGATCCTCTTATCTGTACACACCTGGATTTTCCTTATTATACTTACCTCCCCTGGAATTCTTATGTTTTCTCTCTAGGAGGCCAGTCCATAAAAAGTCTACAGGTGGAGGAAATGTGGGTGGGGTCGGGGAGGCAACAGAGACTGAAGCCTAATCTCTTTATCCTCTATTTAATATTACACATAGGAAATTACCCCTTATTCCTTGGGGTTTTTTTTAGTAAGATTTTATTTTTTCCCAATTGCATGTAAAACTGTCCCTTAATTCTTGTTATGTAGGTACAACTGTGCAACTCACTCTGTCCAACCCCAAACAGAAACTTGCAGATGCCATGTGGGGCTCCTGTTCATATTCACTGCCCCAGGGTGCTGAATTTGGTAGCCACACTGTGGGGGCTGCTGCTATGGATGCTTGGGTAGCAGTCAGGTCATAACCGTCCTGAGGGGCTGATACCAGACTCAGAAAGGGGTAGGTTGGGAACTTACAGCAGAGCAGGAGGGGACCTAATAGGGGAGTGTGAGGATAATAGATTATTGGTAGGTGTGGTCAAGGGGCAACTAGGTGGCACAGTGGAGAGAGTGCCTGGCCTGGAGTCAGAAAGACTGTGAAACTTTGCCTCACTTAAATCCAGTTCATGCTCTAGTCAACACTTAACCTGGTGGTGTCTTTGGTCCTCTTGAAGGACAAACAGGAGCAACAACAGTAAGTGCTGGGAAATTAAATATGAGCAAAAAGAAAGAAGTCCCTGATTTCGAAGTACTTACTTTCTTTTGGGGGAAGACAACACATAAGAAGGGGATCTGAAAAGTGGTGCAGGTTCCAACAGGGGATTGGTGGTAAAATCCAGAGGATGCAGAATGGTTGGTCTGGGCCATTGATCAAAATGGAGATTCTGGGAGGAAGTCACCAATGGGAGAAGGCAGCTGAAGCACAGTAGCCAACTATGGACAGTGAAACACTGAAGGTCTGGGACCTTTCTCAGAACGGAAGTTCCAACCATAACTAACAAATGGAGAAGAGAATCTCAGTGTGGAGAGAAAAATCAAAGGTAAATTGTTGTGGTTATTATTATTATTATTACTCAGAACAAAAGACTAAGAGTCAATGACCATGAATTTGGCTGACTCTGACTCTAGGTTGATGTTTTCTCTCTTTTTATTAAAAATGGAGGATCATGGACAGAAAAACAAATGAAATAGCAAGTTGCTGAAGATAACTAAATAAATCCCAAATCAAACCCTTATGTCTTAATTCCCCACTTAGGATTCAGTTTTCTGGACCAGTGGTTTTCCAGCTATTTCTACCTCAAAAAGAAAAATCCCTTTGAAAAATCAAAACAGTACTATTCCAGGGCACACATATATGCTAGACAATATCTTGGGAAGTTCTAGGGGTTTCCAGGGCCAATTCTAGTGGGTGCAGGTAAGGTATGGGGCAAATCACAGTTAATAATTGTCTTTCACATCACAAGTATCTGGGAAAATGTCTTCTTTGGGGGTAAGTGGTGGTTTCTGTCCTACCTGCCTCTGATGTCCTCTTTTACATAACTTGCTACTTGATTCCAACTGAATTCTTATGAGATTAGATTTAGCTTCCTGGTAGGTAGTCACCTTGATGATTAAAGAAGTAAATATAGTAAGAAATTAGATCTCCAGTTGAAAAACATCAATATAATCCACACTTTCTGCACTGGAAATGTTTCAGCTGGCCATTTTTCAAAGCCACGGATGTGGATATCAGCTGAAGGCACCAGAGCCACGGGGATTTGAACATGCCTCCAGCAGGGGTGAGGATGTGCTTATAAAGGCAGTGTCTTCGGCTCTCTCTACCTCCAGATGCCACCGTGCAGGGAAAGCTAATTGAAGGAAGATGACAGCCTACAAGGTTTTGCTGCAGGGTCTAACTGTCTCATCTTTGTTCTATGGGGCACTGGGCTTGGTGGCTATCTTTTATTTGATAACTTTGCTTGAGAGATACAAAAGCAAGTTGCCTCCTGGACCCCTTCCTTTGCCCTTTATAGGCAACCTGAATTTGGTGGATCTGAGCAAGCAGTATATATCCCTGATGGAGGTAGGGTTTTGTATTTGTAAGGGGTGGGGTGTGGTACATTGATCAATGAGGACACAGTCCTAGGAGTGTGCATGTTTGGTGAGTGAGGCCTTTTGGGGTGGGTGGGCTGATTTTCTCAGATATTGTGGGTTTAAGACAGAACAGAGAAGGTTGATGTTAAACATGCAATGGGATACCAGAAAAGATCCACTCATGGTTAAGGAACATCTGCTTTCAAAAGATAAGGTAATTAATGCACTCTTGGTGGGTTTGGGAACTGATCCAATAGTTCTGGAGAGCAATTTGGAACTCTTCCCAAAAGGTTATAAAACTGTGCATATCCTTTGATCCAGTAATACCACTACCAGATCTGTTCGCCAAAGAGATCAAGAAAAAGGAAAATGATCTTATATACAAAAATATTTGTATTAAGTCTTTTTATGGTGGCTAAGAATTGGAAACTGAGGGGATGCCCATCATTTGGGGCATGGCTGAATGAGTTGTGATATATGATTGTGATGGAATACTATTGTGCTATAAGAAATCATGCTATTAGAAAAACCTAGGAAGACAGACATGAGCTGATGCAAAATGAAGTGAGCAGAGCCAGGAGATCATTGGACACAGAAAAGTAATATTGTACAATGATCAATGTACAATCAATATTGTACAATGAATGACTTAGCTCTCTTCAACAATACAATGATAAAAGACAATTCCAAAGAATTTACAATGAAAAATGCTATCCAACTCCAGAGAAAGAACTGATGGAGTCTGCATGCAGATTGAAGCTTTTTTTTTTTAACTTTATTTTTCTTTCTTTTTTTTTGTCTGTGTTCTCTTTTGCAACATGGCTAATATGAAATATGTTTTGCTTGACTGCATACATATAATTTATATCAAAATGTTTGCCTACTCAAGAATGGAGGAGAGACAGAATTTGGAACTTAATTATGATAAAAAATCAAATGTTAATAATTGTTTTTCAATGTAACTAAGAAAAAGTAAAATAAAAATACTCTTTAAAATATATAGCACAGAGAATTAAAGCAGGATATAGCTATATAGTACAGGCAATTAACAATAGTTAAGAAATAGCAATTCAAAAAGGATAGAGGATATAGAGAGTTTTTCTTAGCTATGAATTTTTATACGTTTTGCTTGCCCAGCAAACCACAGCAGTAGTAATTGATGCTAAAACTAAGATGTAACTACTTAGATTCAGAGTTTGTTAAACTGTTTCAAAGGGCAGAACTGGAAACAGAATTAAGTCCCCTGTCCTTCTAGGGAAGGTCCTTTTCCACTGCATGGTGAGATGGCTTATGCTTAACTTGCAGTGGTTCCTTTGAGCTTAGAGAAACTTCTTTATTTAGCTGGAACTTCTTGGATTCAGGACCTCATTTTACTTATTTATTTGCTTCTCCATTTATTTATTTATTCATCCATCCATTCATTCATTTATTTACTTATTTTGGTTTGTTTATTTATCTATTTATTTATTTATTCATCTGTTCATTTATTTATTTATTTACTCATTTTTATTTATCTGTTATTCCCTATTTATTTATCTTTTTATCTGTTTGCTTATTTATTTGCTTATTCACTCATTCACTCATCTATCTATTTATTTATGCTTGCTCTTTTATTTACTCATTTATTTATTTATTTGTTTGTTTGTTTTTTCATATAGTTTTTCTGTCTCTTCTCCCTGCTGCTAATAGAAATGAGGGTCAAAAAAGTCATTCCTTCAATTGCTTTTCTAGATTTCTGAGGACTTCCTTAATATACCAGCTTATTTCTTTGCTTGCCAGTCTCCTGGCGGATGGGAATGGGGGGAGAAGAGGAAGGGATGGGTGCTAGAAACCGTAGAATGGTCTCCTTGGTATATGGATGGTAAATATTTTATAACTCATTATGTAGAGGACTAATTCACAAATAGCATGAGTAGTTGGATGGCAAAAAGGAATCATGATGTCCTATAAAAATCATTTAGGCTAGGGGCAGGTAGGTGGTGCAATGGATAGAGCACCAGTCCTGGAGTCAGGGGGAGCTGAGTTCAAATCTGGCCTCAGATACTTGATACTTAATAGCTGTGTGACCCTGGGCAAGTCATTTAGCCTTTATTGCCCCCCCCAAAACAAAACAAAAAATCATTAAGGCTAAAATGAATGGATCTTGTTGGTATAAAAAAAATTCAGGCACAGAACACAGGTTCGGAAGCATCACTTGGAGACAGAACATACTTGAATTTGGATCTTAAAAAGATTGTCCCATCCTTTAATTCTCTTGCCTACTCCAACCCTAATCCCTCTAATCATCCGTAGGCATGGGAATAATAAGGAAGGTGGGAAGCCTAGAAACCAACAAAGGACAAGATATGGGTGGATTCTAGAGTTCTTAGTGTTCAGGGGAACAAAAAGGTTTGTGATACTTAATCTTTATCTTAGTATAGGTTATCTTTAGTGTAGGAGCCAAGGCTCCTCAAAAAAATAAAAAAATCTATGTGAGAGGGAAGACCCTCAGGGTTTCTGGCCAAAATAGCAACAATTGCTAGACCTTAGCTTGAAAGGGCTAAAGTTTCCCACTGCATCTGAGGCCATCTCTAGTTATCCTGATCTATATCTTGCCACTCAACCCGACCCAGATGGCTCTGGAGGAGAAAGTGAGGCTGGTGACTTTGCACAGGCCTCCCTCACTTCAATCCAATTCACTTACATGTCATGGCATCACCTCCCTCATGTCATCGTCCTCTTCGAGAATGAAGAACAAACAGCAGCAACATCAGGAGCCAAGCAGAACTCTAATTAGGAATTTTTGTGCCAGGATATGAGTGAGGGTAAAGGCGGAGAGCTCACTTGGGGTTGGGGCACGGAAAGAGTTTCTATGCTGTTGAAGATCTGGCTATGACTGTAGGAGGAATGAGCAGATGTAGTTGGGGCACTGAGGAAGCATCAACTGGGACAAAGTTGCCAGGAAGAGAGGAGCTCACTTGGTATGTGTGCATGTATGTGTGTGTGTGTGTTTGTGTGTGTGTGTGTGTATGCATGCGCATGCGTGTGTGCCTGTGTAAGTTTGTGTATGTGCTAGAAATCACATCCCAAAAAATGTGCTGTCAGCATCTTCTGATTTTCAGTGCACTTGGATAAAAACCCAGTCACCTTGCCCAGGATAAGGCTCTGGGGCCCAAGGTTACATCCCTAGGTGGGCATAGGGTCAAGGCAAACCACACTGAATCTCAAAAGAACATTTTTCATGTCCCTTTGTGGCTGGGCTCAACTTTAGACAGAGTCAGTTATTGTCTACACGGCATGATAAGAGAAATTTTAGGAAATGTTCCTTACCAAAAGCCTTTCCCCAATATGTTTAATGGAGATGCCTGAAATTCTTATTAGTGAGTCTGTTCCTTTGGAAATTTAATTATCCTCCACTATTCCATCCTAAAAATGCAAATACATATGGAAGAATAACATATTAAGCCATTATCCGCTATTGATGACTTAGTTCAAATCAGTTCATGGAAAATTCCAAAAAGCCTACATTCATGGAAGACAAGGAAGAAAAATAGGGGAAGTTTAGATCATTGGGACACTATCATTTTTTTTCCCTTTCAATTCAACATACATTTATTGAGCATATCCTATGTGTCAGACACTGACTTGGACATGGGCAAAATGGAATATTTACCACATAAACAATTTTCTTTTCCTCCTAAGACTTTTTTTTCCCCAATTGACAAGTACTGATTTGGGGTAAAAAACAAACCAAGCAAACCTCTTGTAACAAAAATGCACAGTCAAACCAAACAAATTTCCACATTGATCACGTCCAAAAATGTATTTTGAATCTGTCACCTCTCTATCAGGAGGTATAGGTAATATGCTTTATCAGTGGTACTTGAAATCATGGTTGGTCATTGCATTGATTTGAGTTCTTAAATCTTTCAAGGTTGTCTTCACAATGCCATTGTTATAGTGGAAGTCATTATCCGGTTCTGCTCTCTTCAACCTGCACCAGCTCATACAAGTCTTCCCAGGTTTCTCTGAAATCATCCCTTCATTTCTTATAGCACAACAGCTTTCCATTACATGCATATACCGTAATTCGTTCAGTCATTACCCAGCTGATGGGTGTCTTCTAAGTTTCTACATCTTTGCTACTACAAAAGAGCTGCTATAAAGACTTTACATATGTATACACACATATGTTTGTGTGTACCTTTCCTCTTTCTTTGCTCTCTTTGGGTAGAATCCTAGTAGTGCTATCATTGGGTCAAAAGGTATATATAATTTAGAGGCTTTTAGGGCATAGTTCCAAATTGCTTTCCCCAGTAGCTGTACCAGTTCACACCTCCAACAGTGCCTTAATCTACACACATTCCTACAATATCTCGAACATTTGTCATTTTCCTTATTTTGGTTGTATTTGCCAATCTGATTGGTATGAGATGAAAACATACTCAAATCAAAATTTGCATTTTGTTATTTACTAGTGATTTGAAGCAGGGGTTGTTGTTTTTTTTTTGTCTTTTGGTATGGCTAGTGATAGTTCAGATGTCTTCCTCTGAAAACTGTCTATTCATATCCCTTGACCGTTTGTCAATGGGGGAATGGCTTTTTTTCCCCCTGATATATTTGAATCAATGCCTTACATATTTTAGAAATGGGACCTTTATCAGAGAAACTTGTTGAAAATATTTTTTCCATTGTGGAACTATCTCACAAGAGCATCCCTTAGGAGAGGGATCTTGTGGGAAAATAGAAGGTGATACCTGGTGAGCCACTGGGAAGCACTGGAGATAGGCTATCTCAATACTAAAGACATCATTGGAAGAAGGGGTGGGAGGGCAGCAAAACCTCCATGAACAGTTCAGTTTTGTCTTGTGTATGCTCCTGGTTAATCCTCTTTGTCTTCTGTATACATTTTAGCTGTCCAAGACTTACGGGAAGGTGTTTACAATGTACCTGGGTCCCAAGAGAAAAGTGATACTCGCGGATTATGATGCCATAAGGGAAGCCTTTTTAAACTGCAGTGAAGAGTTTGGAAACAGGCCAGAAATCCCATTATTTAAAAAGATAGCGGAAGGACATGGTAATTGAAATTTCTTTTTTTTTCTTCCATACCCTGGGGTCTCTTTGAAAGGGTACCACTTTTACATATATATGTGTGTGTGTATATGTGTATATATATATATAGTATATATGTGTATGTATATGTGTGTATCTGTGTGTGTGTGTGTGTGTGTGTATATATATGTATGTATGTATATTGTTATATATATATATATATATATATATATATATATATATATATATATATATATAATACACAGAGAGAGAGAGTTCTACTCCCTTGTTAAAGGTTCCCCAAGCTCACTTAACCTATGTGACTTTCAGAAAATTTCTCACTTTTCCTGTGCTTCAAACTTCTCAAAATATAGAATCATAGAACCATTGAATTCTTTCACTGAAAGGAATCTCAGAGGTCATCTAGACCATTGTACCATATATTGTACCATTAGGTCATCTAGACCTAATTGTACCATTACACTATAAAGCTCACTGTGGATCCATAGATTATGGAGTTACACAGTTTACAAACTGGTTTCCTCATAGTAGCCTCCTGAGGTAATAGTATATTATTACCCTCATTTAAAAATTAGTCAAGTGTTGCTCAGAAAAAATTAAGTGGCTCTCCCACAGTCACATACCTAGTGAGTGGAGGGATGACATTTAACCTCAGATTAAGTGAGATTTCTGTCATATGGCTGTATGAGTTTCTCTGAGTCTCCAATGGTGAAGGGCACATTTTATCATGATTACAAGAGCTTCCCGTTATGAATTTCACTTGCAATAATGCCATAATCATTTAGAGCTGGGAGGGACCTCAGAGATCATCCAACTCCATTTTATAAGGGAGGAAATTTGGGAAGAAGGGAAGTGACCTGGTTAAGGTCACACACAGTGAGTCTCAAAGCAAGGGCTAGGATTGAGGTCCCCTAACTCATGGTCTTGTATTCTTTCTGTTATGCTACTCTACTTCCCTTTCTAATTTCCACCCCCCAGCTTCTCCCTTTTCCCTCCACAATTCACACCCACTCCCACCCCACCTCCTACTCCCCCACACAAAATAAGACAAGACTCCCTGAGTTCTGTTCCACTGATAGAAATGCTTTCTAGAAGCTTAGATCATATAAGCAGTAGGGATTTATGAAGCATTGAGATGGAATCAGAGGCTGCATTTGGGGACATAATTCTACCTCTTAGTTATGCTTTTGTATTAGGTATTGTTTTTAGTAATGGAGAAACATGGAAAGTGATGAGAAGATTTGCTTTACATAATCTCCGTGATTTTGGAATGGGAAAAAAACTCATAGAACACAAGATTCAAGATGAACTACATTTTCTTATTATGTATTTTGGATCTCACAAAGGTTAGTATTGGGGGCTGTGATGATGAAATAATAAATAACAATTATAAATTTGACAATTGAGCAAGGTAGCAGTCGAGGTTTCCCCAAAATCAAACTCAACTCCCAAATGACAGCACTTTTTTTTAGGGTCCAGAGTTTCTTTCTCATGGGGGTGCCTTCCACCAACACAGATCATATCTTTGTATACAGTCTTTTAAAGTTATAGTGAGAAAAAAAATCCTTACATTGTATCCAGTCTCCTGGGAACATAACTTAAGATGGTTCTTGGGTCACAAAACCAGAACACATTGCTGAGCAAATTCTCAGAACCTTTCTAGTCGGTGATGGGACCATCCTAGAGTTGTCCTCTGTTGTCACAGTCTTTGAGAATGCGACATCATCTACATAATGAGGACGCACAATGTTTGGAAGGCACTAGGGAGTTTTATGGACTCCTTTGTGTTCCAGGGCTGCAAGTTTAATACCTCTAGGTCCCTTCCAGCTCTAAATCTGTTGTTCTGTCATCTCATGCATGTGTCTGAAAAGTCTTGGGTGTGATTCTGAACTAGATGACCTTTCAATGACTAGATGACCACTAGTGCCCCACCTAGTTCTAATGATGCTTGGGAGCCTCTGGGTATTCAGACTCCCCCCACCCAAGTTCTACTTGGTGAAGGCCACAATGAGGAAATGGAATAAGTCATTAGTAAGAGGCAGATAGGTGGAGTAGATAGAGTGCTAGTGAACTCTGGAAGTGCTAAGTTCAAATGTGACCCTCAGACACATACTAGTTATGTGGTTATGGGCAAGTCACTTAACCTCAGTTTCCTCAATTGAAAAATGTGATTAACAATAGCATCTGCCTCCCAGGGTTGTGGTGAAGATCAAATGAGATAATATTTATAATAGGCACATAATAGGTGATCTATAAATGTTAGCTGATATTATTATTATTCTTAAGACAATTCCTCACTTTTATAAAGCCCTTGACTATTCAAAATGGTTTCACATTCATTTGATTTGATCCTCACAACAAACCTGGGAGGTTGGTATGCCAGATTATTACCTAGAACATCTGAAACAGGTACTTGAGGAAGGATGAGAGAGTTCATATGGATGGAGGACAAGTGCCCTAGCATGAAGCCCCTATTGCCATGAAAACATCCCCAGGAGGGTGCCAGTGGTTGGTGTACTCTGAATTCTTCACCCTTGGAGCAAAGCCCTGATATTGCCACCCTAATTATGGTTCTGCTATTATACCTATTTTACTGATAAGGAAACTGAGACTCAGTTAATTGATTTACCCAAGATAACATAAGTAGGTAGCAGAGATGGGACTCAAGTCCTTTTGTTTTCAAATTCAATGTTTTTCTACCACACCTTGCTGCCTCTCTAATAACAAAAATCAGAACTGCCAAGATTCAGACTTCAGAGTCTTGCTGGCTATAGCCAGATGAGCTAAGAGGTAATGCTAGAGGAGAATCTTCTTGCATAGTTAAAAATTGGGGTATGGGAAGATTCTTTGAACCTATAAGCTTAGTTTAGGTCACAGGATCATAGATCCAGAATTAGAATTAGAAGAGATTTAAGAGAACAGTTATTCCAAATGCTCATTTTAGCAAAGAGGAAATAGAAGCCCAGGGTAGCTGAGTCCAAGTGATGGGGTGCTTGGGTGCTTGTACTAGGACCCCAGTTCCATGACCGTGTTTTTCCCTAGCCTCAGAAACACTATCCCTGGCAGTTTCTCCCCAGCCCAAGGACACTGTGCCTAGCAATTACTCACGAGTGGGTCCCAGCAAGGCCCTTATCTCTCTCCCTGGTGCAGTTACAAACAGCACCTGAAGGAATTATTAGTTTAAACTGGCTTTACATGGGGTCATAAAGATATTCTTATCCATTGGACTATCTATACTACCGCCCTACCTCATTATCTACAAACTGGACTCTTCATTATCTGTATTCTAGACCTAAGACACATGTATACTCCCCACTTCTACCTTGTAAAACAAGACATTGACTGGTGGCAGACTGGACAACTCTCAGTTATCCCTGAACTCTAGTTAACTTAGTGATGTAGCAGGCCTAAAACCATACCTCCATGTGGCCCCCCCTTATGGGCTTTTCCTAGTGAACTCTGGGTAAAACGCCTGCACAGTAGATACACAAAGTGCATGTTCCTTTAAGAACTGACCACTCCCTGAATTACCTAATTAGCATATTTGACACATGTTTTATTATATTTTATCCTATATAAACTTTGACTGTACCCCTCTAAGGTCGCAAGTTCCTTAAGAATCCTTGCCCGCTGAAAAGCGTAGCAATAAACTTTTTGCCAACTTGACTTAAAGAACGCTTGAGTCTGTGAATTCATTCCAGACAACCCCATCCTGTTTTCCAGTCTTTGAGGGGTCTCAACCTCTCAGACCGCAACACAAGGTCAAAAAAGTAGAAAGTGCCAGCAGTGGGATTTGAACCCAGGTCCTTTGGACTCGAGAGCCAATGAAGTTTCTCCTGGGAAGGAAAAGTGCTAAGACTGCTATGGGTAGGAGATGCTACTTGCAAAATGGTTTCCCAAACATTGTTTTCCAGTTGATCATTTCTGAGGATTCAGTGGGTTTACACAATTCTACTTGCCTTCCCGGGGGGAATGGGCTACTCTGAGCAGTCACGCCCTCTTGTGTGGTCTGCCTTTGTTACCAGCAGTGCAGTGAGATAGTATGCAATGGCTAGAGGTCTAGGCTGGCCTTCACCAAGTAGAACTTGGGTGGCGGAGTCTGAATTCCCAGAGGCTCCCAAGCATCATTAGAACTAGATGGGGCATTAGTGGTCATCTAGTCATTGAAAGGTCATCTAGTTCAATATCACACCCAAGACTTTTCAGACATATTCATGAGATGACAGAACAATAAATTCAGAGCCAGAAGGGACCTAGAGGTATTAAACTTGCAGCCCTGGACCACAAGGGAATCCATAAAGCTCCCTAGTGCCTCCCAAACCACATTTAAATATAATTGGGAAATGCTTAACAAAATAAGTAGAAACACAATCCAACATATGTTTGACACCACTGAGTCCAATCCTCTCATTTTACAGAAGAGGAAACTGAAGCACAGCGAGGGAAAGTGACTTGTCCAAGGTCATACATTTAGTGAGAGGCAAGGCCAGGACTCAAACCCAGGTCTTCAGACTCAGTTCAAAGAGGTGCAGGGGATATTTAGTAAATACTATCCTATTGAAATATTCTAAAAGTCATAGTTGTCATGAAAACACGTGGATAAACTGTCTTTCATAGTTTACCTGGATAGCTTGTCTTTCACAATATTACAATAAGAATAGCAAATCAAGGAAATTTTCTGTCAGACCCTTACCCTTATTGTTTATATTGGTATTGAACTGTTACAGTCTGATCTCTGTCCCTGATGCTTGGCTCATCCCTTAATCCTGGTACTGATCTGGCACAACTATAATCCCACTGGAAAAAGAAATTCATTGAGATCTTCATGGCCATGAAGACATAATCACATACATTATCCACAGCCTTTACAGTCTGTGTCACAATTGCATGCCACTAGGGACCAAGAGGTGGTGGAGGCAGTAGTAGTGAAGTGGTAGAAATCAGTGATCCCTAGTTTTGGAGAAACCATTTAAAACCCATGATCGTCCTCTGGTGGGGTGTAACTAATTCATCAGTTCTGACTACATGGACTGGAAGATCACTTGTTGGGTGGCCAGAGTGGGGATTTCTTTGCTATATAGGTTGCCACTAATGTCCTTTCCAGTTCTCGAGTTTTGTAACTTCATTCTTCCAATCATAGCACCCTTGTTTTTCTCTTTACTGCACTGGGATATAGGTAAACCTGTTGACACATCAATCATCTTAAAACATGTTAGTTCAAATATCATCTGCTCCATCCTTTTTGGCAACAGATATGAATATGATGATTCTGAATTTCAGTATTTGTTGAAGCTCTTGGATGAAAATGTCAAACTAGTTGGCTCTTCCATGATTGAGGTAATTTTGTGTTGTCTTTCATCCTTATTTTCTTACTGTTCTTGTCTGTGCTCAGTTTCCTAATTGTCCAGTTAGTATAACTCACATAGAATGCCGTTCCTTGTACCCTTATGGGATCCCAGGAAAGGCACCGTGGTATAGTGAGAAGAATGCTGGACTTGGAATCTGAAGAGACTTGAAGCTAAATCCTCCTTCTGACTTATTAGCCTTAGGACCAGAAAAGTCGCTTAACCTCTCTGTTTGCTGATATGTGAATTGAGAATAATGCCTGCAATGGCAGCTAGATGGCACAGTGGATAGAGTGCCAAGCCTGGAGTCAGGACTCCTCTTCATGAGTTCAAATCTGACCTCAGACACTTACTTAATAGCTGTATGACCCTGGGCAAGTTACTTAACTTGTTTGCCTCAATTTCCTCACTGTAAAATGAGCTGGAGAAGGAAATGGCAAACCACTCCAATATCTCTGCCAAGAAAACCACAAATGGGGTCATGAAGAGTGGACCAGGACTGGACAACAGCAACATAATAATGAGACAGGATGAACTAGCTTTTTTGTGATGAGCAATTCTCCACATACCCTAATTATTTATGTATTTCAGGTACTCCTCAGTATTGACTGGGAGCGTCCCTGCTAGCATTGGTTTATATGGAAGTTTAGAAATGTTTTTGTGTGGCAAGATGGAAAAAGAACAGGGACAGACAACTTTGGACTCTAGGGCCTTGGCAGGGGATTGGCAGGGGTAAGAAGAAGTGGTGAGAGAGAACTGGGAGCAAAAAGAGATTTAAGGAAAGGGGCAAGGGCAGCTAGGTGGGACAGTGGATAGAGCACCAGCCCTAGAATCAGGAGGACTTGAGTTCAAATCTGGCCTCAGACACGTGACACTTACTATCTGTGTGACCTTGGGCAAGTCACTTAACCCCATTGCCTAGCAAAAAAAAAAAAAAGGAAAACCAAAAGAAGGAAAGGGGCAGAGATGAAGTAAATATGCCTTAAGCCAAATTATAGCAATTGGAAGGTACAGGGAGAAATGTGTGTTTGTGGGGAAATAGTAATAACTACTAAGACCTTTAAAACATACCTTATCTCGTTGAGCCTCGTAATTATGTGAAGTGGGTAATAGCTATTATTCCAATCTTACAGATAAGGAAACTAGGAGACAGAGGAGTTAGGTCCTTGGATCATGCTTCTCATATCTGTCAGAGCTGAGATTTGAGCACAGGTATCCTTGACTTAAACCTAGTGTTGTTAGCCACATCATGTTGCCTCTCAACTACGTCTGAGTATTGGGAAAGCTGCCTGGACTCTCTCTTCAACCTGAATCTGGGAGTTGTGTTTGGAAAGCAATCCAGAAAAGACTTTTACCTGTGGGGTGAGATGGTTCTGATTGGCCTTTAGTTAACAACAGGTAGAATGTATGCACACACACTCCAACACCAGCACTGTATAATCCATTTAGAGCCTTGACCTGTTAATTAAACAATTCGAGTTTCTCTCTTGATTAAGTTTTGTCCATGTTGCAAACTCCTCCCACCAATAGACCTTGTCAATCCATCTCCCATTATACTGGTTCCCATGGTGAATGCCAACTAATTGCCCCATTAGCTCCTCCTGAACCCTCATCTCTATTCTAGTTGGTTCTTCTCTCTCTCTGTCTCTGTCTCTGTCTCTGTCTCTCTGTCTCTCTCTCTCTCTCTCTCTTCTCTCTCTCTCTCTCTTTTAGGCAATTGGGGTTAAGTGACTTGCCCAGGATCACACAGCTAGTAAGTGTCAAGTGTTTAGTCTGAAGTTGGAGCTCAGGTCCTCCTGACTCCAGGGCCAGTGCTCTATCCACTGTACCACCTAGCTGCCCCTGGTTCTTCTCTCCAGACCCACTCTAACCATCATCCTTTCCATACATGTTTACAAATTCTTACTATATTCTCAACAAACTTTTCAGCTAACATTCCTCCTTGCAGTTTAACTGAAACCTGGCTTTCCCTTGATGTCACAATCCCTCTTGGGGAGTTAGATGGCACAGTGGATAGAGCATAAAGCGTGGAGTCAGGAAGACATGAGTTCAAATCCAGCCTTAGATGCTAACTAGCTGTGCAAGTCACTTCACTCTGTTTGCCTCAGTTTCCTCATCTGTAAAATGAGCTGGAGAAGGAAATGGCAAGCCATTTCAGTTGCCAAGAAAATACCTGAAAACTGACTGAACAACAAACACCACCATATTTCTTTTAACTGTTCCCCCTAAAGGCCACTTCTCTCAACTCACGAGGACCGAAAGAGGGGCATTAGTATAGGTCTGGCTTTCTATTGCTTTATTGCTGTTGTTCACTTGTTTTGGTTGTGTTTGACTCTTTGTGACCTCATTTGGGGTTTTCTTTCTTTTTAAATAGCATTTTGTTAAATGGGAAAAGGACCCACATGTACAAATATATTCATAGCAGCTCTTTTTGTGGTGGCCAAGAATTGGAAATTGAGAGGATGCCCATCAATTGGGGAGTGGCTGAACAAGTTGTGGTATATGATTGTAATGGAATACTATTGTGCTATAAGAAATGGTGAGCAGGCAGACTTCAGAAAAACCTGGAAAGACTTCTATGAACTGATGCCGAGTGAAGTGAGCAGAACCAGGAGAACATTGTACACAATTACACAATGTAACAGCAACATTGTGTGTGATGACTGACTTTGATAGATTTAGTTCTTCTCAGCAATGCAGCAATCTAAGAACACTCCAAAAGACTCATGATGAAAAATTCTATCCTCATCCAGAGAAAGAACTCAGGAGTCTGAATGCAGGTGGAAGAGTATTATTTGCTCTCCTTTTCTTTTGTTGTTTTGTTTTGTTTCTTCTTTCTTGTGGTTCCTATTATTATTTCTAATTCTTCTTTACAACATGACTAATGTGAAAATATGTTTAATATGAATGTATAAATAGAGCCTATATCAGATTGCATGCCGTCTTAAGTAGGGGGGAAGAGCAAGAGGGGGAGAAAATTTAAAACTCAAAATCTTGTGGAAGTGAATGGTGAAAACTAAAAAAAATTAACTAATTATAATTATATTATAATTATAATTTTTTCAGTTTTCCACATTGATCTTTCATAAGATTCTAAGTTCCAAATTTTTCTCCCTCTGTCCCCTCCCCTCCCACGAAAACAGTAAGCTATCTGATATAGGTTATACAGGTGCAATCGTGTTAAACATTTCCAAATTAGTTATGTTGTGAAAGAAGAAAGAGAACAAAAGAAAAAAACTACAAAAAACAAAAAAAAAGTGAATATAGTGTGCTTTGATCTGCATTCAGATTCCATAGTTCTTTCTCTGGATATGGATAGCATTTTCCATCATGGGTCCTTTGTAATTGCCTTGGATCATTATATTGGTGAGAAGAGCTCAGTCATAGTTTATCACAAAATATGGCTGTTACTGTGTACAATGTTCTTTTGGTTCTGCTCACTTCACTCAGCATCAGTTCATAGAAGTCTTTCCAGGTTTTTCTGAAATCTGTTTGCTCATCATTTCTTATAGCACAATAGTATTCCAATACATTCATAAAACACTTGTTCAGCCATTCCCCAATTGATGGGCATTCCTTCAATTTCCATTTCTTTGCCACCACAAAAAGAACTGCTATAAATATTTTTATACATGTACTTTTTGTACTTTTTTGTACTTTTTCTTTTTTTATGACCTCTTTGGGATACAAACCTAGTAGTGGTATTGCTGGATCAAAAGGTATGTACAGTTTGATTGTCCTTTGGGCATAGTTTCCAAATTGCTCTCCAGAATAGTTGGATCAGTTCACAACTCCACCAACAATGCATTAGTGTCCATTTGAGGTTTTCTTGGCAAAGATGCTGGAGTGGCTTGCTGTTTCCTTCTCCAGCTTATTTTACAGATGAAGAACTGCGGCAAACAGAATTAAATGACTTACTCAGGGTCACACAGCTTGCAAGCGCCTAACGCCAAATTTGAACTCAGGTGTTCCTGACTCCAGGTCCGGTGCTCTATCTACTGAACCACAAATTAGGGAAGAGTAAAAGGAGTAAAACAAACCACCATATAAGTGAATCTTACAGTTTATGCAATATTCCATACCCATAATCCCCCACTTCTGTAAAGAAGGGAGGGAAGTATATTTTTGTCAATTCTCTATGGCCATTATAATTACACAATGGTTTTATGCTTCTTTTGACTCTTTCCTTTTACATTGTTATAGTCATAGTGGGGATTATTTTCCTGGTCCCACTTACTTTACACTGATTTGGTTCATTTATGTCTTCCCATGTTTCTCAGAAGTCTTCATATTCATCTTTCTTTTTGGTGAATTAAATCTCATTGTGTTAAAGTACCTCTGCATTGTTTAGCTACTCCTCGATTGATGGGCAAGGATTGTCTTTTGTTTCTTTTTGTGTCCCCAGTGCTTTAGTACAATGCTGGCACACAGTAGGTGCTTAATAAATGTTTATTGAATGAATGAATGGTTGGATGGATGAATCTACTTTTTTTTTCTAGTTCTTTGCTACCAGAAAAAGTTCTGTTTTAAATGTTTTGGGGTGTGTGTGTGTGTGTGTGTGTGTGTGTGTATGGGGCTTTTCTTTTTGTCTTTGACATACTTGGAGTAGATCTGTAGGAGTAGGACCTTTCAGTCAAAAGGTATGGACACTGAGTCACTTTTTAGCCTAATTTCCTATTGCTTTCCATAGTGGTTACATTAGTTCACAGCTCCATCAACAGCATTTTTAGTCTGGTCTTTCTGATTTTACAAATGAGGATACTGAGATCCATAGAGGTTACATTATTTACTCCTATTCACACAAATGATTTGTAGCAGAGTGGAGATTTGAACCCAAGTCTTTTTGGCTCCAAATTGTATGATCTTTCCACCATATCACACTGCAAGAAACTTTAAAAATTGCTTGTTGAATTGAAGTGAAATGAAACGATGTGGCATGGTGGCACGTAATGGTAACCTCAGCTACCAGGGAAGCTAAAGCTGGAGGATCTC